TAATCAGGTTTTAAAAGCCTCTAAAGATGGAGACACCACCACCTCTCTGGGTAGCCTGTTCCAGAGCTTTACTACCCCTCCTAGTGAGAATTTTTTTTCCTAATATCAAACCTAAACTTCCCTTGCTGCAACTTGAGACCATTGCTCCTTGTTCTGTCATCTGCCACCACTGAGAACAGTCCAGCTCCATCCTCTTTGGACCCACCCTTCAGGTAGTTGAAGGCTGCTATTAAATCCCCCCTCAGTCTTCTCTTCTCCAGACTAGATAAGCCCAGTTCCCTCAGCCTCTCCTCATAAGTCCCCTCAGCCCCCTAACCATTTTCATTGCCCTCTGCTGGATTCTCCAATTTGTCCACATTCTTTCTGTATTGGGGAATCCAAAAACTGGACACTACTCTATATGTGGGCTCACCAGTGCTGAATAGAAGGGAAGAATCACTTCCCTCTATCTGCTGGCAATACACCTACCAATCTGCACTGGTGCATGGGACTGTTCCATCCTACATGCAGGACTTTGCACTTGTCTATTGAACCTCAAGAGATTTCTTTTGATCCAGTCCTTCAATTTGTCTAGGTCTCTCTGAATCCTAGTCCTACCATCCAGAGTATCTACAATTCCATTAAGCTTGGCATCATCTGAAAACTTGCTGAGGGTGCACTCCATCACATTGTCCAGGTCATTGATGAAGATATTAACCAAGTCATGTCCCCTGGGGCACTCAACCTGACACTAGCTACCAACTAGACATCAAGCCCTTGATTACTACCCTTTGAGCCCAACAAGCCAGCCATTTTTCTATCCACTTACAGTCCATTCATCCAACTTGTACTTACTTAGCTTGCTTGCAAGAATGTTGTGGGAGACCATATCAAAAGCCTTGCTTTTGACCCATACTTTCCATGCTCTTCTTGTTGCTGACATACTTGTAGAAACTCTTCTTCTTACCCCTCACATCACTTGCCAGCTGCAACTCCAAGTTCTCCTGTGACAGTTTCTTTAGTACCACAGGATGAAGTTCATCAGGCCCTGTTGATCTGAATTCATTCAGACCCATCAAAAACTCTCTCTCTTGTTATTTCATCCAGCAGCTCATCCCCTTTCTTATCCAAATAATCTGCATTAGGCTTCTGGTTGTAGATTTTTTTTTTGTACGTGAAGACTGAGGCAAAGTAGTTGTTAAGTAGCTCCACCTTCTTTGCATCTTCTGTTAAGAGTTTCCCCTGGCTAGTTAACTGTGGACCCATAGCTTCCTTGGTCTTTCTTTTTCTGGCCAACGTAGTTATAAAACCTCTCCTCAACTTTATCCTCCCTGACCAGGTGCAGCTCATTCTTTATCTTTGCCTTTCTGAATTTTCCCTGCAGGTTTTTGCTACTTCCTGGTATACTTCCTTGCTGACCTGCCCATTTTTTCATTTCCTGTATGCTTTCCTTTTGCATTTGAGGCATCCTAGAAAGCATCCTTGTGCAACCACATTAGTCTCTTGCCAATCTTTGTGTGTCAGAACAAGTTCTTTTGGGTCTTCCAATACCATGCTTTTTAGAAGTTCCCAGCCTCCTGGGTACTTCTATCCTTCAATCTGTCTTCCCATGGCACCATGCCTATTAATTCCTTGAGCTAGTTGAAATATACCTTTTTGAAATCTAGCATTCTAGCTTTGTTGACCTCATACTTTCCCCATTTCAGGACCTGGGATTCTGGTCACTTCTTCCCAAGTTGCCCATCACTTTCACATCCTCTGCCAATTCTTCATCCCTATTGGTCAGTACAAGATCCTAGATGAAGCCTGATACTACATCCATCCAGGCTCATCTTAAACCAATGTTGGACAATTTGAAAGTCGTTCAACGTGCATTGAACTTCTGTTGTGTTACAGATTTGAGCCGGTTTCCAACCACTTACACTGGTTTGTGTGTAATTTCTGTCCCTAGCCCTTCTCTTCCTTCCACTCTCTGCCTTACTCGTAACTCTAGATGCTGGACCCAGCAGGGTCACGATCCCAGCTACAGTCATTGCCCTCACAAACAGCTAGCCTCTGCTAGATCAGTTCCCAAGCCCTGCAGAGATGGGGATTTTCAGCCTTCCATAAGCCCCACTGCCCCGACTAGTACCCCCGTCAGTCCCACTAGAAGGCATTACCACACACACATGCATACACAGGTTCCAACCCATGCTGTGCACTTTCACTCACTCTGGAGTACATCAGCAAGAAGCAGGTAGAGGCATTCAGTCACATGATGTTCCTGCTTCAGCTTTCCTCACTCCCTGTACAGGCAGCATTTCTCCCCCAGCAGGTCCTGCACTGCGACCTGCATCCAATACAGACCTGCAGCAGGGAGTCATACTAGCTGCATGGGGTGGGAAGGAAGTGGGGTGGGTGAAGAATGAACTGGATTAAGCTCCACACACCTCTCCCCACACCACCAGTGCTCCTTATACTGTACTTCCCACCAGTCCCCCTTGAAAGAGGCCAGTACCCTTATCTCTACCCTGTAGGCAGGGAACAAAGGAGAAGCAAAGTGGCTCAACCAATGTCACCCAGCAGGCTGGTAGCAGAGCCAGGTCTCCTGAATCCAACCTAGTCACTGAATCCCCTGCCTCCCCCATGAAACAGCCTTGCTGTGCAGGAATGTCAGCAAACAAATCTAAGCTCCCTGCAGGGTCTCTGCAGAGGAAGGACAGGCTAGCTACTCTAACTGGCCTTCTATCCTAAGGGCTCTGACTCTGACTACGTGGTAAGCCCCCCTGGTTGTAGCATGGCCTAACTCGTGAGACCAGGCAGTGACAGAGCTCTGCCAGCTGCAGCAAGAAAAGCTAGGCAGTGACAAAGTCCTGCCAGCTGCAGCAACTTTTAGCTCTCAGTTAGCTTGCTGGCAAAGCTGCAGCAGAGCAGGATGTAGCCCTGAGCTGTGAAACCCAATCCCTCACAGGTGACTTGCAGGCGAATCACCATGTCAGTCTGACTTGCCAGTCTCGTTGTGCAGGGAACACTTCAAAGTTCCTGTTGCCTCTGAGAACCTACCTTTCAAGAGAGACTCTCAAGAAGGGGCTGGCGTGGCCGGGGTCTGGTGTCTGATTGTCACACTGTTGGGGTCCTGGGTTTTCCTGGAAGCGTCAAAGTGGCGACAGTACAGCTATCCAGGATGTTCTTAAAGGAAGTGGCTGACTCTGTGTAAGGGCGATTCCTTTCTAGCTGCTGTTTGCCAGGGATTGTGCACAGTCCAAGCTTCACTGTGAGTGACATGTTTCAGGTCAGAATCTCTAGTCTCTAAACCGAGGAGCCCTCCTACTTGCTCCTCTGGACATGTTCTGCTACAGCAGAGCACCGTTGGTAGTGCCAGATGAGCTTAGACCTGGCCCATAAAGAAAGCACTTGAACTGAGCAGGTTTTCTGACTCAGACTAACCATGCCTTTCACCAAGCTTGGAGGTATTTCAGTAATGCTACTGTATTGCTTTGAGCACTGTTCTCTTGCTTTTTTAGTTTCAACAACGACTGTGAGTTGGGGAAGGGGACGGGTGGAGGGGCAAAGGGATACTCAGGAATTGTTTGACATGATTACAGGACTGGAGTTCTGGCTTGGGGCAATTTCTGTCCTCTAGGAATTCTGTTTGCAGTTATTTTGGGACAGCTGTTTGGAGGGTTGTTAGGGGAGGGACTACCATCTCAGCCACCTTCTATTGGTTAAGGCACCCTTCGCCACAAGTTACCTCATGGTTTATTTTTATGTTAATATTATTTGTACTCTAGATAATTATGCTAGGAGAGATTTTTCATACTTAGCATTTTAAGCAAAGGATTGTGCATTTCACTCTATGGTTAGGAAGCAACTGTTGAAGGAATCTATGCAGCAAAGTCCAGAGCAAAGCATATACAAAAATTATGAAAAGTGCATGTATAACCATTTAGGAAGTGAGCAATGGCATGCTAGATTTCAGTATTCCTAATAATGGATAGAGCCAAGTACCAATGATGAAATAGCAACCAAACTGAACTTCAAAACTAGCACTTTCCTGTAGCTGAGCAAAGTAGAAACCTGCAAGCTCAGACTGTTCATTTGCAAAAGCAGATGCAGATCTCTGTTCCTAGGGAGTTGGACCTCTGAGGAGAAGAAACCTATGAAACAGTCCAATGCGCTGTGTAGAGGGTTTAAACAAACTCAGGAATGCTCAGTGCTGTGGGAATGGCCAGGGCTGAGAACAAAGCATAGAATTAAGATGATGCTCAGGATTGCAGTTTAAATGGAAACACTTGCAGCAAACAGGAAATGCTCCTTAAGCCCAAGGTAAAATGGGCATCCAGCTCTGATGAAAATGTACCAGTGCAAACAGAGTCACATGGCAAAAAGGAGAGCAATTTGCCTATAGAAATTCCGGGTGTAGAGGGCAAAATACACACGGCTGCATTCTGGTTTGCCTTACAATCACGGTCACTAAGGACCCAGGGGCATCTCTGCCCAAGAGCACAGGTGCCGGCCTGGCATCTCAACCACATTTCCACTTAACTAAGAAATTATTCTCTACTGACCTCAATTTCCCCCTCTAGGTGTAGAAACGTACAGAATCTTTCCACCCTTACTCCAACTGCTGTGGTAGCACCACTACTACACGCTGTTAGCATGTGTGGTAGCACTATTACTACATGCTGTTAGTGGTAGCACCACTACTACACGCTGTTAGCCAGGCATCACTGCATTGCTCAGCAGTGATTGCAGTGTATGTCCTGCATTCATGCTTTGGAAAGAAATCTGGAATTGCTGGGGCTGAAAGGGGCTCTAGAAAGGCCAGATGCCAACATGTTAACCCTTATCACTTCACCCCCAGCAGGACAGTCCTTTGTTTTTACCACCTTTCCTTGAGCAAAAGAGCCATCTCTGTACCCGTCCCCAGGTTGTCAGTCCCAGGATTATTTCCTTGAAACTTAGGTTCTGTTTGCATCTGGAAGAGTATTTGTTGGCCAGTGTCAGAACTCAGGGGAACCCTCTGTACTTTTCCTCCTCAGACACCAGTCCATCGTGAAAGGGAACAATGGGCTGCCCCCAGTAGACCAGCTCCTCAAGTTCTTGGTGGACAGCTCTGCAGACTGTGAAGAGGAAGTCCAATGTGCAAACTGTGATATGGAGTGTAAGAAACAGGTAAGGCAGGACTCTCCATGCCACCTGCCACAAGGCTCTGCACACCACTTTGCAGAAGAAAACAAAGACAGTCCCTGACTGAACTCCAGCATTTTCAAAGCCAGGTCCCCAGATGTCTAGTCAGGCCCCTGAACAAGTGGCCTAATTTTACCAACTGAAGATCCTCCAAGTCCAAGAAAGGCTTTAAGTCACAAGAATACTGGTATGAGATCTCATCCTTGGTAATACCAGGGAGGTGGTCATTCTGGCACAAATAGACATGCTTGCATTCCCCACTTCCCACAGCTCAGCCTCCTTCCCTTCAAGACCACAGGAAGCAAGAGTCCCTGGGCGATTCAGGAACCCACTTGCTGTGCGAGATGTGAACATCTCTGTACCCCTGTCCCCAGGTTGTCATTCATCCCAGAGCTGATGCAGAGCTGACCTCACTGCTTAGCCATCTGCACATTCTAGATCTACACTCTTCAATGCAGCAACAAGAACCAGGCCCTATGTTTGCTGAACATGGTGCCAAGGAGACCATGGCCTTTACTGACAAGTGTGCACTCCATTTGCCCTCAGGAAATGGACACCATGTACTTCTGCAACACCTGCAACCAGCCCCTCTGTAACAAGTGCCGCGAGGAGACCCACAAGGCCAAGATGTTCTCTCGCCATGAGATTGTCTCCTTGACCAAGCGCACTAAGGACATCCACAAGAAATGCTGTGAGTGCAGCTCTTCTGTCTGCATCCACAGAGCAGTCAGCACATGAACAAGCACTGTCCCAGGGAGCATAGTTGCAGAGACAGGAATGGGCACAGGCACTTGGGTGTGGCATGAGCAGCCTCTATTCTAGGGTCTTGTTTAACCCCAGGATGAATTTGTCTCTTGCAGTTCTCCATAAGGAGCCTTACATCATGTTTTCCACAGAGAAAAAATCCATGCTCTGCATTAACTGCTTCCGGGATATGCAGGTGTAAGTAGCAGAGAGACTGGCCCCTCTCCTTCCTCTGAGCCTGCACTGACCTTTGGGGTGTTACCGCTCTGCAATCTCTCCTCCTTGGCCCAAGACTGCGATATGCTCTTCCACGGGAGCTGGATGTGTGAAAAGTCTCATGGGAGAGTAATGGTACTTCAGCCCCTCTACTCCACAGTTCCAGAGGCTGTTGCTAACTAAGAGAGAGAAGGAACATGGTTCACTTTGCAGATATGAACATTAAGCCATAGTTCCTACCACAGTGGAGGGCCTTTGAGCAGGGGCATGGGATGCTCAGGAACAGGATCATATGAGCACAAAGCTCCCTCAGCACTGTCTGGAGATAGCACGTTTTCCAGCTTGTCTGTCTGTGTGAGCAGTAAGCCCCAGTAACCAGGGCTGGAAGACCTAAGTCAGGACTGCGTTGGCTACTGGGACTAGGGGTAGTTGTGCTAGAAGAGGGTCCAGGCAACAGCAACATTATGTAAACCAGCTAAAACCAACACCCCAAACTAGTCTGACAGCCTAAAGGGTCATGCCACAGGCCAACACTTGTATCCAGCAGGGAGACAAGAATGCCAAAGGAGAAAGTTGTTCTGCTTTGAGGTGACAGACAGCCCTCATCATTTCCACCGGCAAGGTCTGGGCTAAGGGATCACTTCCTAAAAGTCAACCAGATGGCAGAGAAGTGCAGGGCTGCAGAGAATTGGGATATATTGGCACTGTCCCCCCATGGCTGCAACAAGGGGAGCCCTGCCCCACTTGGGAAAGAAGTGTGCCACCCTGCCTTCCAGCAAGCCGGTGTAAGAGCAATCAGCAGGTCTGCATTAGACCTTGCAGAGCCAGCAGTAATGAGCAGTGCGACCCCCCGGGGGGGGGGGGGGGGGGGGGGGGGGGGGGGGGGG